AGGAATGTGAAAAAGATTACTTAGTAAAGCAGGTAGTAGTTTCTCATGCAGTTAAGCATGTACTTTATCATATGGTCCAGTATTTACAATGGGAAATTAAAATTCATACAAGGACTTGTACACTAGTGTTTACTTATTTATTATAATCCAAAACTAGAAATAATCCACATGTCTATCAAACTGGCAAATAGATAAAATAGAAAACACTATTCAATAAAATACTACTCAGTGCATACTTACCCACAATGAGAAGAAATAAACTATTAATAAAGCATAATGTAAGCAAAATAAGCCAGATGCAAAAGAATACCTAGACTTCTGTTTATATGAGATTTGAGAATGATGTAAAGTAAACTATTATGATATGAAGTGAATCAGTATCTTCATGGGGTTGGCAGTTGAAGGAAGAATTAACTACAAAAAAGAATGAAAGGACTCTTGCAAATGATGGAAATACTCTTTATTGTCACACAGGTTTACATATTGGTCATGTTTATTGAACTCCTCTATGGGAGACCACCTCTGAGCTATTTGCATAGCCTCTACTCGGCCTTGAAGTCAAGGAGATTTTGGTCTGGCATTGCAAGTCATTTTGTGGTTTATTACACAAAGCATGTGACCTCAGTCTTTGCTGGGGCATAGAGGCTGCTCTGTAGCTCCAGAGTTGGGCATTATCCATTGGGCTTGGACAGCCCACCCCTGCCTTATTTGGTGAAGAATATTCTATGGAAAAGCCTTTGTGTATCTCCCATATAAAAATAAAAATGTGGGCTCACTCTTTCTCTCCTTCTAGTGTGGAAGCAGGACCCTTAAGTTTGCAGAGCCAACCTGCCTTCGATCTTGAAATTATTTCTGTGTCTTGTGATTTGTATTTTGCAGCCAGCTCACTACATGCAGGAGAACACAGCATATCTTGCCTGTGTGGGCAGTGGGCGAGACTACTCACTTGAAATGAGTGAACTTTATTGTATGTAAATTATGCTACAATAAAGTATTTTTAAGTTTTTTTAAAAAATGATTAAAAATAGAGACAGTTGGAAGGATATCCAAATAAAAGGCTCAGGATACATAGCTATAATGTAGAACAAAGACAGTCTTACAATTTTTGAAAGCTAATTTACATCTACCCACACTACAAAGAAGCTATTTTGTAGGTGAATGAGAAAATCACTCTGCCTGATATGAAGACAAACCACTATAAACTAATTTCATCAACTACAAAAAAAACCCATTTAGCATTGTACATGCATTCTAAAGAGCTCTTCTTTCTATAATATTTTTAATTTGTTCTTATTAGCTATACATGACAGTAGAAAGAATTTTGACATTATATGTATGTGGAATAGAACTTCCCATTCTCCTGGTTGTACATGATGAGGAATTACATTAGTCATTTATTCATGTATGCATATAGAAAAGTAATGTCTGATTCATTTTCTATCTTTCCTATTCCCATCCCCCCTTCCTTCCTTTCATTCTCCTTTGTCTAATCCAAAGTACTTCTATTTTTCCCTATCTGCTCCCCAGCCATTGTGAATTAGCATCCACATACCAGAGAGAACATTTGGCCAGCCATTAGTTTTTTAAACTGGCTTATTTCACATAGCATGATAGGTTCCAGATCCATCCATTTACTTGAAAATGTCATAAAGTCATTCTTCTTTATGGATGAGTAATATTCCATTGCATGTGCATGCAACACACACACACATATATCACATTTTCTTTACCCACTCATCAGTTGAAGGGCACCTAGGTTGGTTCCATAGCTTAGTTATTGTGAATTGAGCTGCTACTAAACATTGATGTGGCTGTGTCACTTTATTATGCTGATTTTAAGTCCTTTGGGTATAAACTAAGGAGTGGGATAACTGGGTCAAATGGTGGTTCCATTCTAAGGTTTCTGAGGAATTTCCATACTGCTTTCCAGAACAGTTGCCTTCCTGAGGCTTAGAAAGTTGAGCAGAGAACCCAGGTGAATGCTTTGTATCTCAAAATTTAATTGGGAAATTTTGCTAAGTTGTTGAAAATTTTCCTTACAGAGTCTGGGAGAGAGCTAAGACAATTGATTCAGATATGAAAGTAAGGGCAATGTCATACTGAGGAGCCAAAGAAACAATACCTGTTGGATATATTACTATAATTTAATATGCAGCATTTAAAAATAGTTTCCTAATTTTCAAGCCTGTTTTGGCATTGTCTTAAAAACCACCTGAGGAAATTTATGCATTGGTAATTTCATTTGCCCAACTGAAAATTACTTTATCTACTTTGAAGAGATAGCTTATAATGATTGCCACCAAAATTATTTCTTTTAGAGTACATTAGCCTTCTGAATATCCACATTAGGTCTTTAGTTTAATTATTTTCTGTATTTGTCTCTTTTATAATCTTTTTCAATGGGTAAAATCATTTTTGTTGTCTCCCCTTAGCTCATTCCATTCTAAGGAGTTATGTGTGGGATTTCTTTTCTTTTTTTTTTTTTTTAAAGAGAGAGTGAGAGAGGAGAGAGAGAGAGAGAGAGAGAGAGAATTTTTAATGTTTTATGAAAGAGTGAGAGAAGAGAGAGAGAGAGAGAGAGAGAGAATTTTTAATGTTTTATTGTTTTTAGTTCTCGGCGGACACAACATCTTTGTTGGTATGTGGTGCTGAGGATCGAACCCGGGCCGCACGCATGTCAGGCGAGCGTGCTACCGCTTGAGCCACATCCCCAGCCCGTGGGATTTCTAATTATAAAATCAGATTGTATATTTCATTAGTGAACTCATACGTTCACTAAGCAAATCTTTCAAAAATTTAATCTCCTAGAAAACAGTAAAGAAAAATTACATGGCCAATGTGTCTGGAGTTCTGTGGAGTTTTTGTTGTTGTTGTTTATTTTATTTTTTTTTTGCTTTGATTCTGTCCAACTTAACAGTAGACAATCTTAGATAAATCTCTTAACACTCCTGACCTTGGTTCATTCGATAATAAGGATACGGGTTACTTCACCTTTGTTTTTCCACCCTAAAATAGTAAGAATGACATTTTAGGATAAGCTATACTGAAATTTTTGACAGTGTTTCAGCAAGAAGAAAATATACCTTCATTGGCTTTTTAATAATGTACTGCAATTAATCTGGGTAGATAAATTATATTTACTGAAGCTTGGATGCATTTCTGGTAATAGCTAGATATTGTGGGGTTATGATTGTATCTCTGCTATATTTACTTTTAACATGTTATATTTTCAAGTTAAACAGAAGTCACAGTGTAAGGCTCAATTTCATTATGGATTAGTACATTATATTATTTTATTAGCATTTTAAAAATAACCATGATCAACAACAGAAAGGGAATTTGTTATAAACTTTTAGTAGAGAAAAAACAAAATTACAGACAGACCTTCATGACCATTGTAGTTCTCAGGTTCCAGATAATACTCAACAGCCAGAGGAGAATATTTTTTAATGTTTGTGGAGAAATTACTTATACGAAGGTCAAGGGCATGTTACCAATTTTATGTTCTTCCCACACAACTGAGTCTCTCCATACAATTAAGGCTCTTGAATCTAGTAACACCTGTTTCCAAAGACTTGTCTGACTTCCTGGAGTAAAGGGTCCTCAATGTGTAGATGAAGAGAATACACATTAAGAGCTAGTAACATTTTAAAAACTTTTCTCTTGCCAACACCTCAAGTCCACTGAGGCCATCTAGGTCATTTTCAGACAGTTTTGTGCTGAATGTCAAAAGTGGTCCAAGAACTTAGCAGTGGAAGAATAAATAGTGGTTGGAACATGAGGGTCACTTCATAATCTTGTTAAATTCTTCATAGCTGTTACTTTCTCAAAAAACTAAAAAATGGCAGAGGGTGGTGGGGCTTCCAAGGTGAGTTTTCTTTTATTTCAATAATTACCACATCAGAAGCACAACCTTCTAATTCAATCTTTGTACCTAGAAGCTAGCACTGCCTCTGGGTAAAGAGGATGCAGTGAGGCAATGCACAGAAACTAGAAGATAAAACTTTGAAAGAAGATAATTGTTACAGAATCTTTAAGTGATAGATTCAGATTTTTGAAACCATTCCATATAGTTGTCTGTTGCTGTTTTGCAGGGATAGTGACTGACCAAAAGAAGATGAAACACAATGACCTTTAAAGAGCTAAAGTGATATCCGAGTAATAGCTGGAGGACAGTCAGAAAATCCGGAAAGAATGATTTTGAGTCAGTTCAATCTTTTTTTTATAGAGCCTAGGGATTATTTTTATGAAAATGTTGGCTCCAAAGCAGCGTAAAAGAGAGCTAATGGGTTGAAAGCCAAATGTAAATGACATAACTGGAATAACAGGATAATCACAGCAACCACTACCTAAGTTTTCATCTTTTGTTTTCCCAAGATATTAAATATGGAAATTTTAAAGGCAGAATATTAAGGATGAAACAATAAACACCTCCTATTCAGATATACAATCTGCCCTCTCTTTAACATCCTCTCTAGCTGAAGGGAGAAGAATGGTGGGGAAAACATATGGCCCCAAAGAAATCACAGAACATGCTTGCCTTGAACAGAAAGGCACTATGGTCACAATAATAAATCCCCTCTATAGTTGAAAAAAATAACCAATAGTCTCATTCATCATTTTGTTGAGTAAATGTACCCAAAGAATCACAATATTTTTATATCTTACTATGTCTTATATGCTCACCAGCAAAACATAATCTCTGGTAAATACAAAACTAACTTTTTATAGTAAAGCACTTCCTCAAAATAAAAAAAAATATGCATTACATAATTTTTACCCTCAACAAACCTCTTTTTATCTTCAAATATATTAAATTTGACAGGAACTAATGGCTTAATGGTTTTCCAATAGAGGCCTTTATGCTGGGAAAAAATGTAAGGTAAACTTTTACAAACAAAAATTCAGCAAAACCAATATCAATAAAATTTTAAAATATCTTTAAAGGCATTTTAAGTATCTACAAAGCACTTCTTTTATAAATAGTAAATTTCTCATACCTGGGATGTAATTCAAAAAGTCCCATAATTGTTCTTCTTCCATGTAGCTCACAAAAACATTTCCAAAAGTTTGTGGAGAAAAATTGCAGTGGTACAGCACTTTAAAGATGGCTTCTGTCAAGCTGAATCCTTGGTTCAGATTATTTTCTGTATCAGAAACTTGGTCTTGAAAGGTGCGTGCTAGAAAAGAATAAAAACAATGTAGTAAGGTAGGCATCAGTGAATGTGATTAAATTCTTATCAGTCCAGCATACTGCTATGAAATGTATTTGATTAATATTTGCACAAGAGAAATACCACATTCTTTCAAATCAATGGTCCAGCTAACCCAATGAATGTTTACCAAACCCATTGACCCTGTCATTTCAAAATGGAGAAGTTTTTCGATTGGCTCCTCAATAAAACCACATATGGAACTCTGCGAAAAATGGGGCCATTTAAAAAAAATTATTCTAGTTAGTCATATATAACAACAGAATGCAATTTTAAAATGGTGCCATTTTAATTGCTTTTTTCAACTCTCTTCTTGCTCCATATGGCTTCCTAAAAGATCAGTAATCAGAAATTTCTGTACTATTGCATCTATGGGATGGATGGAAAGTTGAAATAACAATTTCTATTTTGTTTGGATAAGCAGCATCATAATGAGCAAAAATACTTACTGAATAATGATAATGTCAACTTATATCTTATATAAATGTAATCTAAGGTCTTTTGGAGTGAGTACATTTGTTTATTTTGGCTCATTTGGAAGCTAATCAATTTTATGTTTCCTCTCAATTTTATTTCTGGGATTTGATTTTAATAATCTAGAGGAGCTCACTATCGCTTGAAAAGTAAAAAATAGAACCATAGACTTTATGCAGAGAGTCTTTATTGGTTTTTCTTTCTAATATTCATTTCAAACAAGTTTTTTCTTTATCTAGTTATTCAAGCCCCTACCCATCTCCCTTGCCCTATCCTTAACTTAACATGGTTTACTTTGTTGCCATTACCAAAGGTGGGCACGTTACCAAGACCTGAGCAATCAGAGCCTGACATCTCCCATTAACAGTGATCAGTTCAGGGATGGGCAGGTAACCAATGTGACAAACTTCCTCAGGGTTTTTGGTGGAATAATTGGTGGAACAATGTTCTTTTTCTAACAGATTTGCCTAGCTGGTTGGAAATTGATGATTGCTATTTCAGGAAGAACTTGACTGAGAATGACTCTCATTCAGTAAGAAGCAGAATGAAGATATGAAGATTCCTGATGTGATGACACTGAGAACCTGAATTCAGCGCTGCTTATAGATTCGTGTTAGCTGAGATGATCAATTTCCCTTTTAGTTAGATAGGCTAATTTGGATTTCTGTAATTGAATTCTGAAAGGTCTTGATTTTTTTCTTCTTAAACCAAGCAAAAATGTTAAATGGAAAATATTTCGAACTCAGGCACCCATTATTTCATGTTTTTTATTCAAATACTCTCTGCTGTTCTCTCTACTTTCCCCTCTCTCTAATTCATGTTAAGTACAACAATCCGTTATCCTTCATGTTATTCCTGTGTTTAAACCTTCCCCTATGACTCCACTTGCAAAAAAAATCCTTGGCATGATGATTCACAATTTCTACAACATCTTCCCAAATTATGTTCCAAATCCCCAATATCGGTCCTACCACAGGGTTTATTTGCTATTTCTTTCAAATGTGCCCTCCTGTATCCTTTTCTTTGGCCTATGCTATTTCGTCAGACTAGAATGTGGTCCTCCAATAAAACCACTATGATTCCATAAATTGATGAACTGACCGATTGTTTATTATATGTCAGTTATTGGATCAGGTAATGAGAACTTCACTTGCCTGTAATTCACTGACTGTGCACCTATATATTGTTATTTACTTGGGGATGGGATGATAAACAAGTAAACAATAATTATAGCAATGTAAAGATAAGTAAAGTAACCTTCCATCCTGGTTTGCCTGGGGCAATCTGTCTTATGTCTTATTGTCCTGGCATAAATACTACTAACATCCTCCTTCACTCTTAAAAACTATCTGTTTGAATGACAAATTCATCTATCACCTAATTCTAAGCGCCTTAAATATAAAGCAATGGGGAAACACAGAGAATAATGTTTTACATTTTGCGGGGCAGAACATCAAGATCTCTCTCAGCCAAACCTTTAAGGAGCAATAGAGTTTATCAGCATGCCAAAGTTGAGGTGGGGAAGACTTTTGGAAAGACAGAAGAGGTGGTGTAATAAGAAGCCCACAGGCGTCTGCTGGGGGTGTGGAAGTGAGACTGTTGGGAGGGAGAGGGAACTGAAGCTAGTCAATCAATGGAGCATGTATGACAACACATACATGGAAAGAGGGGTGGAAAAGAGCAATGGTTACACCAAAAATAACAAATATTATTATTACTTCTACTATTGTGAAAATGTGTGGACATACTTCAATGAATTTTTTTCTCCTATTTTCCTTCGCCCTAAACTAAAGTAGTCTATTTCTATTTACTTTACCCAGGGATTTTTGTCATTTCAAAAGTGCAGATAGACTGAAGTCATTTATCTTCTTGGACTTAAAAAAAGAAGAAGGAGAAAAGCTAAATCTATTGAAGAATGTTTAGCCTGAACTAATAAAATAGTCATTCTTGTAGACCATAAAAGGAAAAATGTTGTCACTACTATGTGATTCCCAGTGAAATCATATGTTTCCTGGCAGGAGAGCAGGGGTGAGTTTGGATTGCTCAGTGAGAAGAGTTCTGAAAATTTCTGGGTCTGCAAGAAAGAGCGCCTGTGTGCTCTTGCTGGTAGTGCTTAGGGAGGCTTGCCTGGGTGAGGGGTAAGGGAAGCCAGGTTGCTGACATGGGCTCTTGACCTCAAAAAAGGTTTCAAACATATTTTTGCATGCAGAGGAACCAGATGGAGAGGGATAAAATGTCTCTCTGAGAAACTAGATGTCCATGCAACTGATGATGGATAGAGCTTTCCAGGGCCCTGTGTGTCACCTTGGGTGTAAGAAGGATTGAGTGCCAACATCATCTAGGGAGAAATGTCAAGTGGGATGGGCTGACAATCCTCAGAAAGTTGCCTTAAAGACAATAAGTGATTCATTCATGTGCATCTGAATTTATGAATTCAGATTTATACCAGCTCCATAAAAATGAAATTACTATTCACAAAGTACTTAATGTATGCCAAACATCACATAAACTGCTTTACATCTCCTTTCATCTTCAGAATACTCTATGGAATGGGTGCCAATTATCCTAGATGAACAAAGTAATCCTAGATGAACAAAGTAAAATTGAAACAAATTAAGTAAATTGTCCCAAGGTCACAAAGATATTAGGAGTTTGCCTGTACTATTTCTGTTATACTAGAATCCCAAATTTCTCAAAGCATGCATTGACATTTTATTGACAGTGACCTTTGAATGCACTGCCCTTACTCCAAGCCAGGTATTTTGTATGTGGTAACATATTGCCTTATGAAAAAATAATTTCATGTAGTATTTTACATTTTCTCATTATTTCATTATATCTCTAGCACTATTTTATGACTTTTTATAATCTAGATTTTTATGTGTGATTGACTTTAGATATCTCCCAACAGCTCCTGGCATAGTGATGTGTATTTAACTAATATTTCAATACTAAAGAAGGAAAAGAAAAGATGGGAGTTAGATCTCTAAGGCATTTTTGGGGGTGCTTTGGTTCACCGAGAATGACACCTAACTGCCTCCTAATCATAACATTCAGAGAGCTCTTCTTCATGGAGCTTCACCCTGTGCATATTTTCTGGATCCCTTTCCACTGCTCTTTTGAGACCACTTCTTTCTTGACTTCCTTATGGCCATGCCCTATTGGTTTCAGGGTACCTTTCTGGCATTCCTTTTTCAGTAAGCTCTTCCTCTCTTATGGTATAGAATGAGACTTGGCCAAAGTATTGCTATAAAGGGCCAGATAGTAAATGGTTTACATTTTGGGAGTCTTTTGTTTTCTGTTCTTACAACACAAAAGTAGTCATGCACAATGTGTAGGTATAGGGTCAAGACAACATTGGAAGGAAACGGTATTTATGAAAATGGGTGGGGCAAAACTCAATTCAAAATGGATCAAAGATCTAGAAATCAGGCCAGGAACCCTGCATATACTAGAAGAAAATGTAGGCCCAACACTCCAACATATCAGCTTAAAAACTGACTTTCTTAATAAGACCCCTAAAGCATAAGAAATAAAATGAAAAAAAATCAATAAATGGGATGGCATCAAACTAAAATTCTTCACAGCAAAGGACACAATCAGGAGCATGAAGAGAGAGTCTACAGAATAGGAGAAAATCATTGACATCTGTAACTCAGATAGAGCACTAATTTATATATAAGTTATATAAAGAACTCAAAAAGCATAGCACAAAAAACAATAATCCAATCAATATATGGACAAAGGAACTGAACAGATGCTTCAAAGAAGAAATATAGTCAAAAAATAAATGAAAAAATGTTCAACATCTCTAGCAATTACATAAATGCAAATCAAAACTATACTGGAAGTTCATCTCACTCCAGTCAGAACTGTAATTATCAAGATTACAAGTAACAATAAATGTTGACAAGGATGTGGGGAAAAAGGTATACTCATACATTGCTAATGGGCCTGCAAACTGGTACAACCACTCTGAAAAGCAGTATGAAGATTCCTCAGAAAACTAGAAATGGAACTAGCTATCCTACTTCTCAGTATATATCCAAAGAATTTAAAATCAGCATACTACAGTGACAAAGTCATATCAATGTTTAAAACAATTCATAGTAGATAAGCTATGGAACCAACCTAGGTGCCCTTCAACAGATGAATGGATAAAGAAATTCTGATACATATACACACAACAGGATAACTAAGCCATAAAGAAGAATGACTTTATGATATTTCCAAGTAAATGGATGGATCTAGAGACTATTATGCTAAGTGATATGAGCCAGTTCCAAAAAATCAAAAGTTAAATATTTACATCTGGGTTAGTCATCCTGCCATCCTTTGACTTTAAAGGTTCTTTTTGTGCAAATCATCCATCTATGGCTCTCATCTTGCTCTTTCTTATCCTTGCTGAATTCCCTAATTCTGTCTAGGACATTGCCATCTCCTGTTCATGTCCAAGCTCAATGCCTTAGCAGGAATTAATTCTTCTCTAGATT